CAACAAAAAAAACCTTAGCATGTTTTTTGAGAAATTAACCGCATTTATGATCAAATATAAATTTCACATTTAATTTTTAACTTTGATGAGACTGGTTGTAGTACGGTCACAACTCATCCAAAAGCAATAGCTCAGCGTGGAACAGAACAAGTGGGACAGGTTACTTCCGCTGAATGAGGGAACTTAGTGACAGTACTTTTCATGATCAATGCTTCTAAATCCTCATTGCCACCTGTTTTTGTATTTCCAAGAGTTTGTTACAAGGATATTATGCTAATTAATGGCCCGGCAGGGCTTAGTTAATAGTAGTGGTTAGATGAATGAAGAATGTTTCATGTCAGCACTTCATTATTTTGTGAAACATGTTAATCCAACAAAAACAAATCCTGCATTGATCCTTATGGATAACCATTATACATATGTCAACCTTTCAGTGATAGAATTCGCTAGGAAAAATCATATAATTATTTTAACTTTCCCATCACATTGTAGCCATCGCTTGCAGCCACTTGATGTGACTATGTTCGCGCCATTCAAATCGAGATATAAAATAGCAATGAATGCATGGATGTTATCAAATCCTGGTGTTATACTTAACTATTTATCATATGGGTTAATTTGTTAAAGAAGTATTTTTGACATATTTCACGCCTCACAATAAAAAAAAAAAACATGGATTTGCTAAAATCGGCATACTATATATCCATTAAATTCAAACATATTCTCAGATGAAGATTTCCTTCCTTCATATGTTACTGATCGGTCTTTGCTTACTGAGAGTGACTCCTAACAGCAATCAGAAGAACAACTTAACATTGTGGAAGTAACATGTACTCGTATAACTCAAAAACTAACTCGTGTAACACAAAAATCTGAATCTTTTAGTCAGTTATCGCCACAACTTAGCACTTTACGAAAAATACAGTCTGCGCACTTAAACATATATGTCCTTTTCCGAAAGCAGGGTTTCGGAAAAAGACAATAGGTTAACGTAAAATAAATTCAGCAATTATAACAGACACTAGAAAAGCAAAGAATATTAAAAAAAGAAATCAAAATCTAAAAAAAAGAAAATACAGAATATGACTACGAAGAAATTTATAAAATTGCTCAGGAAAAAAGTTAAAATTAGTGACAGTAGTCAAAATAACCAGGATATTTCATTACGTAGCAATAATTTACTCGATAAAATTTTAGAAATTTTAGAAATGAGGTAGAAAAGAATGCATCTAATACTATGGCAATCTCTAAAAATACCAAATCATTGAAGTTTGGTCACAACATGACAAAACGTAATGACAACAACTGTTGTGTCTTTGTAATAGATTATTCTGTAAGTATGGAAGATTGTTATCAGTGCAAATTGTGCCCTGGCTGGGTTCATATTTCATGTGGCAATAAGGGAAAAATTTTCATTTTTTTTACAATAATTGTTTTTAATCAGAAATATTACTTATATTTTTTTATTTTTCACACATTTATTAATATAAAAAAAAATATTTGTTAAAGAATGACATTTTTATTTGACTTGTGTTAAAGCTTATGTAATTTAGTATCCGGATCTTTCAAAACCACCTTGTTTTGAAAGAACTGAATTTCCAGTTTATAAAAATGGTGATTAAATCTCTGTTAATAATTAAATTATTTTTCTGTTAAGATCTTATAGACAAATGTGTATACTTAAGTTTTAAAGTAATTTTATTTGTTCAACACCAGATTAAATTTTTTTTTCCATATTTTGGAAAAAACTGGCTCTTTCATGCCCACTCTTCCCTAGAGTCCTATATTATAAGAGATGCGCCAATGAGATTCGCTTGCTGATTGGTCACCAATCAAAACCGAGAATATCGGGCCCGCAGCTGATCGATTATCAATACAAAGCAGCTGTACTAAAGATCTTGTACTAAGATTCTAGAAGTTAGGTTGAAGGTACTACAGTACTACATTAAGAAACATTCTTATTTTCCAACATTATAAACAACGTTAAATAAGAGACTACAAAAGTTGCGAAATATCAATTGAGAAATGCAGATTAAATCGATGTGTTGTGTGACATCAATATTTTTAAAACATTTAAGTAAGTAAAATTATCATCATATGACATATTTTGTTGATCATTATCTTATAGAAGTCATTAGGAGTCACCGCTAGATATTTATTGCGTGATATTCTCTGATATTTATAATCTATAATTATAATATTTTGGACGTTTCGGCTAACAATTTCGAGCCATCCTCAGCAATAATAAATTACCGCTAATCATCCGCGTCGTCGAGCTGCATCTCGCACAATCGCAGCTACAACCATACTGCAATTGTATTGGAAATGTGGTGAGAGACAACCATCTTCAACATAGTTAATGTTGCGCCATCCAGTTGCTTAGCTGAGTGGAATTGATAGTGGAATTCAAGCTCATCTCCAATCACAACTAAAAGTGAATCCAAGCATCGTCAGTAGATAACATTATATTGATATTCGATGTTAATTAAATTCACAAACATAATGATCCGATATATGAAGAGAAAAATTCTCTGCGTGTTATCACAAATCCTTCTTTTATTGCAGTATGGTTGTAGCTGCGATTGTGCAAGATGCAGCTCGACGACGCGGATGATTAGCGGTAATTTATTATTGCTGAGGATGGCTCGAAATTGTTAGCCGAAACGTCCAAAATATTATAATTATAGATTATAAATATCAGAGAATATCACGCAATAAATATCTAGCGGTGACTCCTAATGCCCATTGTTGTATATACATTTCGTTTTAATATTTAGAGGAGTCTATTGATTATATTTTTCTTCAATTCTTTTTATAGGAGTCAACTTTTTTTAATAAAGAGGAAAAACAATGTAATGAAATTGATATTTCTAATAAAGTATCAAATGAATTTTCTGCAAATGTTAGTAAAAATAATATGCTTACAATTGTATGAAATGTCAATAAAATTTTCACATCGTTTGCTATAACTTATGTTTTAGATTCATGCGACTCAAGAATATAGCAAATGATGTGAAATTTCTGTTGACATTTCATACAATTGTGAGCATGTTATTTTTACTCACGTTTGCAGAAAATTTATGCTTTATTAGAAATATCAATTTCATTACATTGTTTTTCCTTTTTATTAAAAAAAGTTGGCTCCTATAAGATAATGATGAGCAAAATATGTCATATGATGATAATTTTACTTACTTAAATGTTTTAAAAATATTGATATCACGCGTATCGATTTAGTCTGCATTTCTCAATTGATATTTCGCAACTTTTGTAGTTTCTTATTTAACATTGTTTATAATGTTGGAAAATAAGAATGTTTCTTAATGTAGTATTGTAGTACCTTCAACCTAACCTTTAGAATCTTATAGCGTATTCGATTTACTGACTCGACCCGACTCCGAGTCAATGGTCTGTTCTGTTTAGCTGCAAAAGAAGAGCTAAATTATACAAGAAATGCAGCTAAAAAGAACAGACTGTTGATTTGGAGTCGGGTCGAGTCAGTAAATCGAATACGCTATTAGTACAGCATCTTTAGTATAGCTGCTTTGTATTGATAATCGATCAGCTGTGGGCCCGATATTCTCGGTTTTGATTGGTGACCGCTCAACCAATCAGCAAGCGAATCTCATTTGCGCATCTCTTATAACATAGGACTCTATTCTTCCCTACCTCAAAGGGTTCGGAGATGCACCTTTCAATTTTTGCGCAACCTCTATTTGCGAAATTAGCCAATTTACACGATATCGAAAAGCGACCAACGGCATTCGAAAGACAATAGTTCGTACCCGTTTGTATTTCTTTCGTTTTCGTTTGTACATACCTCAAAGAGTTTGAAGATACAGCGTTTTTTAAAACTTCGAAATGCGCTAAGAGAGTAAGTCGCTCATTTTAAAAGATATCGAAATGCGATCAACGACATTCGAAAGAGAATCGTTTGTACTCGTTTGTATCTCTTTCATTTTCGTTTGTACCTAAAAAATGACCGACTTACTTTTTTACCGAAATTTTGAAAAACGCTGTATCTCCGAATCCTTTGCGGTACAAACAGAAATAAGAGAAGGAGTACACACGGGTACAAACAATTCTCTTTTGAATAATATAAACAAAATAAAAAATTTTAAATTTGCGCGCTAGTCATTTTGAGGTACAAACGAAATAATGATCGGTACAAACAGGTACAAACGAAGTATAAACGCGCTATAGTATTCATTTTGATTTTTAAAAGTTGGGCGCTAGGTTTACATTGGTGTTAGTTGTGGAGCTGTATGTTAAATGATGTTGTATTATCTGTATACGTATAAATAAACTGTAGATACAAACTTATACTTGTTGTATGTACGCATATTGTTATTATTATATATAATAATCGATGGAAAAATTTATATTAATGGAAAGGATTACCTATGATAAAAATCGCAGTTTCTCTCCTGTCATGTCTTGCGACGACTGTCAATGAAAAACGAAAAATTTGTTACGAAATTAAGTGGAAGAAATTCTACCATGGAATTAATAATGATCGAGAAATAATGATCAAATTCGTTATCTTGGGTGTAATTAAATATTACGTATAATTATTACACTGTCTTCATTTTTGCTAGAACCGATATGCATAATGTCTATTATATTTTGACTTGTCTTTAGTGTATATACTAGTTTAATAAATATCTTTAAAGAAATGTTTTAAAAAACATCTTTCAAGAGAGATTATTTTGATATCTTTAATATATCTATTACAAATATTTTAAAGATATCTTTCAAGATTTCTTTAAGACGTCTATAGATATCTTTTAGAAATTCTACAAAGATATCTTCAACAAAATCTTTATAGATATCTTTTAGAGAACTTCTGGATATCTTCTAGAAATATCTTGAAGATATTTTTAAAAAGATATCGTTTAGATATCTACAAGACCTCGATATTTTCTAGGCAGTTCTGTCAATAGAGATTTTATCAATAATTAAAAAATTTAATTTTTATATGTTGTATTTCTGTATTTTAGGGAGTACCTGTTGTTACATTTGCACTTGGTACATGGCAAATTAAGAGATGGAGATGGAAGCTGGATCTAATAGAAAAGCTAAAGCAACGTACTTCAGCAGAGCCAATCGATTTGCCATCAGAGTAAGATTATGATATTAGAAATTCTAAAAGAAAAAATAAATTTGTAAAAAATAATACTTACACACACAATATAATATTTTAAATTAGAATATTATATTGTAAGCACTATTTATTGTAAACATTTGATAAAAACATTTTTTTTAGCCTAAACGAATTAAAAGATAAAGAATATTATCGTATAAGAGTGAAGGGGAAATTTTTATATGAAAAAGAATTTTTGATAGGACCTAGAAGCCTAATTATTAATGGGGAAGCTGTTAGCGAAAAAGGTGGTGGAATATTTTCTCGCAAAACAAGTTCAGGATATTATGTGATTACGCCTTTCAAACTGGAAGATAGGGAGTAATTATGCTTTCATTAATTGTTGATTTAAAAGAATTAAGAACGAACTAAAACTCAATTTTACATTTTCTAATTCAGTGTAGAATGAATTTGGTATTGTTTCTTGAGTTTAGCTTGATTATTATGGTAAATCGTGGATGGATTCCTAGATGTGATCGCTCAACATATAAAATGAGAAATAAGATTATAGACCCCATAGAAGTTACTGGTATTATTAGAGCAACTGAAAAGCGACCTCCATTTGTGCTCAATAATACACCTGCGAAAGGTGTATGGCATTACAGGTAAAGGCGCATAGTTTACTTATTTTATTAGTCATTTTTATAGTAATCAAACTAAAAAAAATATTTAATACTGTGAAAAACGATGTTTTCTATCACATAAAAATTTAACCAAGTATGTTCTAGAGATTTAAATGCAATGGCAAAGGTAGCAGAAGCAGAACCTGTATACATAGAATTATTGGCCGAATATAATACACCTCAAGGTCCAATCGGAGGCCAAACGAAAGTGACTTTAAGGAATGAACATTTGAGTTATATAATCACTTGGTACTCGTTGTCTGCCTGCACGAGCTACATGTGGTTCCGACAGTTTATACAGAAATTACCTCTTATTTAAATGCATTTAAATATTTATATACCTGCTATACATAAAAAAATATAGAAATGTAATTATGTGTATATAATAATTATTATATATAGTTATGCAATTGTATATTTGTCATAATAATTTTTAATTACGATTATACATTATACATTTCTAATTAGTTTTCCAATTCTAATTACATATTTCATTGTTTTCACATCTTTATGAAAAATCAAAATATAATTACTTGATTAATGTGAAATGAACGGATACAAAACTAGAAAGGAAAACGTAATTCTTCGAATTCTTTATTTCGTAAACATAATAACTGTGAATGTGTTCCATCTCTAGAACAGAAATATCATCTAATTATTCCTCCAGAAAAAAGCCTCCCTGCCTTTCGCTATCATAATAATAACAATGATAACTATAACAGCAATCGTTACAAGCTTTCACTAACAAAATCTTTAACAATGGTCATGGTGTACAACACGGGTGCCCAATTAGTTAGTTCAAAGGGCCACATTTCAAATTTTGACTATTGCCCGTGGGCCTTCCCGCCACGCACGTTTTACTCACGTGGAATACGGTTGCGGATGCGAGCTCGATTAGAAGGCTGCGCAGACCAGACATGGGCATCTGTGGTGTACAATATACTTCCACGGTCAGCATAAAAAATATTTTTATACAAGTATGAAAATATGCAATATATAAATTACATTGATTTATATAATTATACTATCATATAACACATAATAATGACAATACATTAATAATAATATAGTAATAATATACAAAAACAGATCGAACAGGCAATTAGCAAGACAATCAGGACATAGTAACGAATGTAAAATAAAATAAATATTTCATTAAAGTTCGTTCTTGTGCTCATAATTCGCATCTTTTTTATAAATTTTTAAAAGTTTATGAGAATTGAAATATTTTGTTTGGTTAATCTTTTAATTAAATTAAATATTTATAGTTATTTTCATATTTAAAACTATTCCATGAAATTCGTGTGCCTTAAAGTATTTACAACAAGATTGTTAATTGATTGTTTCGCTGATCCTTAATCGATATTTCGTTGTAAAAAGTCATTGTCATAAAATTGACGAAGTTTCATTAAGATTAACATTTTTGTTTTGTTGGTGTTCATTATGTCGTTATTATTTTGCGAAGCGAGATATACATCATACACCTTTCGCAGGTGTATTATCGAGCGTACATTTTATTGTCGCGGTATCGATGTGATGTTCTTAAATTAGTTTAAACACATTGATAACAGTATCGCTTTCTTACGTATAAGATCCGTTCTTGAAGGTTGGCATAAAAACATTACTTGTTTTTATTTTATTTATACGCGAAATATTTCGGGAGAATAGGTACATAACAAAGAATTCTAATTTTGAAAGCATACGGAATTAGCTTTTACTAAGAAATGAAGAGACGAGAATGGATTGCTCAACTTCGTAGATATTACATGTCTCTCGGCTGAAGCTTTATATTTAATAAATTTAAGAACAATGAATAAAATTCTTTTATTTAACAATTAGTATGATATGCGATTATAATCCTCTAAAAATTTAACTATCGAAGTTAATCACGTCTCCAAACTTTCGCTTTGGCAACACTCGATGCACCTTTCTTTGGAAATATCGTGTACACATTTTTCGACTCCGAAAATAAATCTATTCTTGCCTTAAACTTACGAAATATGAAATAATAGACTTTCTAGATGTATTAATTGTGCTAACTTTCTAGATGTTTGCTAGATATACTGTTCATGCGACGTCTTCGCAACGTCTTCGCAAGAACATTGAAGGCAAGTCGCATATCGATTCCCTCGATCGTCGTACCTTTATTGATCCCTTGCGTATTCCTAAGGAATATCCTTATATACTATTATCGTATTGCACTATATTTTATCCATAGTGACTTTCAATTATACATTTGGCCGTAAGAACCACAACGACCATTAAGGCCCGTCTACAATACACGGAGTAAGAAGTAAGAGTAAGAAATTGACCAATCACAGTCGATTATTCTTCTCACATTCGACTGTGATTGGTCAATTTCTTACTCTTGCTTCTTACTCCGTGTATTGTAGACGGCCCTTTAGGCGTCGTCTACAATACACGGAGTAAAAAGTAAGAGTAAGAAATTGACTAATCGCAGTCGATTATTCTTCTTGCATTCGACTGTGATTGGTCAATTTCTTACTCTTACTTCTAGACGACGCCTTAGGACCATGGCATACAAAAAACTTAAAGCAGTAAGACGTAAGCAGTAACGAAATCAACATGTTGGATTAAGGGCTACCGCAGACAAAATTTCTATAAGGCGTTGTCTACAATACGCGAAGTAAGCTTGGTTTAAGAAGTAAGAGTAAGAAATTGACCAATCACAGTCGATTATTCTTTTCACAATCGATTGTGATTGGTCAATTTCTTACTCTTACTTCTTAAACCAAGCTTACTTCGCATATTGTAGACAACGACTAACAGTAACCTCAAGACGTGAACTTAAGCCGATGAGCCAATCAGGATACTGCTTTAGATCTACGTACTCTAACGGAAATAGAAATAGCAATAAACTTATCCATAAGATGAGTTTCAATCGGCTGAAATTCATCTTATTGCGAGGTTATGGATAAGTTTACTGTTATTTCCATTAGATTACGATAATAGAAATAATCCATTAGATTATTTCTATTAGATTACGTAATCTAAAGCAGTATCCTGATTGGTTCGTTGGCTTAAGTTTACACCTTACGCATACTGTTACGGAATTTTGTGTGCGGCAGCCCTAATTACTGCTTACGTTATGGCCCAAAGACATGGAGAATGGACTGCGCGATCCGTGTAGTGGTATAGGATATGTTGGTCGAGGAAAATGAGAGAGAGGGACGTAGGTTGCGGCCAATCTGTCTTTTTCTACTCAACGGTGAAATTGTGATGTTCCGGGCCCCGTCCTTATGGAAACAGACACTGAAAATTTTCGAAGAAACACTGAAAATGAAGGGTTAACACTCAAATTTGAGCGTTAACCTCTTATTTTCAGTGTTTTTTCGAAATTTTCAGTCTGTTTCCATAATGGCGAAACATAATTTTAAAGCTTTGTAAATGAGATATTTAAGCTTTTCACGAATCTAACCTAATATGTGTACCTACTTATGAAATGATCTTTTAGATTCTTTATCTCCTCGCCACTTGCACACCCAACAAGTATACACCATATTTCTATGTACTTCTCTAATACAGACT